GATGCTGCCGCCGCCGCTGCCGCGCGCCGCTGCCGCTGCTACCGCTCGGGCTACAACAAAGGGAAGGGAGGGGGAGATGGAGTCAGTGGGAGGGGGAGAAGATGGGAGTGGGGTCCACGTGATGCCTATGCCGCCAGCCTCCTCCCCCGGGACCGGGTCAGAAGGGGGGTCCGACTCCGGGCCGCCACGCCCCCTCTCTCCCCATTGCCACGACTTCCCCGTGGGCGGCGGAAGTGGCGGAACGTTCGGGAGCGCCTGGGCACCTCGCACAGCCGCGCGCCGGTCCTGGGATTGTTTTGCAAAGAGGGCTGAGGACAAACACTCGGGGCCGCTCTTTCCCGCACGCGAAGCCTGCCTCACGGGGGACTTCTCTGCTGCCTCGACATCTTCTCCCTCTCCTAAACCGCCAGAGAGCAAGATTTGGGCTGTTTTGACCGCTTCCAGAGGAGGGGAACTTAGGAGAAAATAAAAACGCATTGGCTGGTCACAGAGTTTTTCCTCAGGAGTAGGTGTTTGTTCATCTCCTTGCAACTAGCGGACCCCTGTGAACTGGTCAAGCAGGCATAGAATTGAACTGTGTGATGGCAAACTCTAAATCCCAGGAGCCTCCATAGTTGGGCTGCTTCCCCAAAAAGCATGTTCACAATTAGGCAGTACCTCACTTGGGGGGGGGGGGGCTGATCTGGGCCCTTTCCTCACTGCTGAGGTAGTGCTATCCACCAGGCCTTGAGTTGGCAGAACACAATAGTGACATGAAATGTGCTGTTCCCATTGCTGATTCCTCTCCTGCCTCTTTTGCTTCTTCTGCTCTCAATCACTGCCAGTCACTCAAGGCAATGGGTGTAGAAGCGTAACAGATTGTGGCTGTCCATGGACAGTGTTGGAATAAAGAAGAAAACACTAGTATCCTGCTGATACAACTAAGAATGATTTAAAGCTGTCTCCCTCATAAGCCGGGGATGAGGTGACATGACAGGAAAAAGATACTGCCATGGCATGTTTGTATGATGGTTAGGTTCAAGTGGGAAAGACCTGTAAAACACGGCTTTTTATAAACAAGATATCAAATCAAATTTATTATTACAATCAAACAAGGTACTATCTAGGGCCTGCTTTGCCAGCAGCTCTCAGAACATTCACTGTGTGGTGTTTTTATCTGGAACAAGTAGCGAGAAAAAGGACAATTACTTGCAGAATCAAATGCATGTACTTAGGGTGCTGGTCACAATTCAACAGAGAGTTACAAACATGGTAAGAATTAGAAGGTTTAAGCCTGTTTAACTCTGCTGTTTTGTGGCCTGTAAAATTGATTCTCCTCTACAGGAGAATAAGATTGAGGTTGATAGAATATGGAAGCACTCTGTTTAGACACAGTAGGCACAGACCTCTGCAGTAAGTGTATGGCAGGCCACTGTGTGTCGTTTGTGGTTGAGCTGAGATTTGATCTAAGGCCTTCCCTGACCTAAGTTCAATTCTATTCCCTTCACCACAGTGGTGAGTGGTTATTAGGGAAGACACAAAATAGATACCAATCTGTTTTGATGCAGCCAAGTGATAAAACATGCAACCTCTCTTTTCCCATTATCCCAATCAGTGGACCATAAGTGACTGAGTGTCTTCCATTTGTCACGTAGAAAAGTATGTTATAGAAGATAAATATGGCAAATCCTTTTTTGTAGAAGTCTCAGCTTTAAGCTTCTGAAGCAGACGAAGAGCCTTCTGCTTTCCAGTAGCCAAGCTGTGTAGATGAAAAGAGTGTGCAGATTGATGGCCAAATAACCTTTGTTCTTGATCTGGAGGGGAATAATCTTTTTACTAGATAATTGTTAAATGAACAATTAACATGTAAGCAGTACAGTAGCAGATATGCCCCCAACTCTTATTTTTGGTTTCCTGGAAGTTAGCAAGTCATATTAGAGAGACTTCAACTCAAGCAAATGTAGATTTGTACTCCTTTGTGATGACTTTTAATGAAAAGTGAGCTAAACGTTTTATATATAAATAAATAAGATCATCTAGGGAGGTCCTCCTCCAAGCATCCCTAGATCTAAATGTTGGAAGTTCACCATGAGATTTGTTGATGCTGGCATCCCAACTTAGAAATGTTCTCCTTTGGAAAGTGTGTCTGACATCCACCTTGTTCTTCACCCAAATTGCCATGACAGTTTTAATTCCTTGTTGTAGAGGAGTACAAAGATGGACTTGAAGAAACTATGCAACAACTAAGCACTAAAACATGCGCTTAGCCCAGAAAAACAGGAAAGCCTGTGAAAGAAACTCAAGATTGACTCTCTTTGGTATAAAAGGGATGAAAGGGGAAACGCCAGGCTCTCAAGATTCTGTTATTATAGCCTATATCAATAAAGTAAAATTCTGGTATTTCTTGTGGTGTTTCTTTCCTGACCTGGCCTACCTCAAACAGTAGACATTTGTATTGGCTATTTGTTTTTAGATCCTATGGTCTGAACTGTTTTCAGTCAGGTTGTATTTCTGTTTTTCAGTAGAATTCCTGTTGATCTTAATTATAATTTTAATAGCATCTATTGTTTATAAATGCCTAACAACTATAATAAAATAGAATTGCAGCCTGTGAGAGTTTATTTTATTTGCAATATGTTTTTTCTGTTAGTGGCTTTAGTTCCCAACTTAAATGTTGAAACTTTCTTATCTGAAAAATAACTTTTCAAGTTTATGGATCTTTTGTTATTTTAAAATATGTAGTCTTACTGAATTAGACTGTTAAATGGTTAATAAAAAGCAATAATAACTGCAATTAACCAAAAGACAAATGTGTTAAAGGCAATGCAATTAAGTAGTGATACAACATTCTTCAGAATGTTCATTAGAAAAATAAATAACAGTCTTGAACCATCCTAAAAGTATTTTCATGATGAGCCATGAGAACCTAGTGGTATCAGGTAACCCAAATATTAAAATGATCATGGGACCAATGGAAGAAAGGTGCTCATGGACTTAATCCTTAGTGGCATCCAAGATCTGGTATGAGATGTGATACCAAAACAAATAGCAATAGCATCCATCATGTATCTAATTCAGCATGTACATAAATGGAAACTATAAAGCTGCAACATAATTCCATTCAGTTTCAAGATAAGGAAGTTGAGGTTCAACAGAATGAAACAAAAATAGCTTGAAGATTGTTGTGACTGTGCCTACTTGCCAGGCATTCACAAAACTGCAGGCTGCTTGCTAGACACAGAATATACATTTTCATGACAGAGATGTTCCCTGTCAAGTACACAAAAGCAGATATCCCCAGTCTCTCTCTCTGCTGGACAGAGAAAAATAGACAAGGGTCATAACTGTAGAGAAGCAGGAGAAAGAGACTAAGGAACACAGGCTTCATTCTTCCCAAAAGCCTCTGTGAAGAACTTGGGATCTCCAAGAACCTGGAACAATCCAGGAACATTGAAGCAGAGGATCATTTTGCTTCAGGAAGTCTTCTGTCTCTATAGAAATAGGTAAAATGTCTAGCCAGAAATATTGTGCTATGTTTGATTTGGTGCTCAGCCTAATTGTCTTTATATTTTCCATACAATACAAGTTACAAAACTCTGTGCACTCTCACTCTTTATTAATTCTTTAGGCTGGGCATTAAGATAAAATATTGTGTTTAGACTATTCTTATGATTTGTAATATGATTTGGAAGCTTTGCAAACTCTCTTCTGAGACCTAGCCAAAAAACATTCATTTGTAGCATTTTGTGGTCTACCTGGAATACTGCATTTTCCACCTACAGCCTTAGCCAGCCAGTAAAAAGATAAAAACAAAAACTTTAAATTTAATACAATAAGAGTTTGAAGCCAATAGAAATAATAATACAGATGATAGGTTTGAAGAGACAGGAAGAATTATTAACAGAACATAATAAGCAACTTGGGGTAGAATGAGCTCCAAATAAGAATTAGAGTTAGTAGAATTTGGAAATATTATAGGAAGAAAGCTGATATACTTTAATGAGACCACTAATAAGGCAACTTAAAAAAAAGAATAAAAGATACTTCCCAACTTTAAACTGTTGAAAAGAATGCAGGGAGATATTTCAAAATAACAACAAATGCATTAGTGAAGGCTTTCTTCACCAGTTATGGAAGAGGAAAGAGGAAAACACAATTGCACTGATTGGTTGCTGAGACAGATGATCATGATTATGAAGATGGTAACCTATTGGATTGATCATGATCACCTCTCGAATCAATGCAACTATGTCCTTCTCTTGTCACCAGGGCTGGTGAACAAAGTATTGCTAGGCACCCTAGTCATGGATAGAGAAAGCTGAAGGTGATTCAGATAGCAATCTGGTGTTTTATAATTAGCTTGTATCCCATGATTGATATTTTGTGAATGGGAAAGCCCCCTCATTTCCAAGTGTGCCCAAACATGATCTCAATATTCCAAATGTGTCCACCATCCCCAAATATTAGGCATCTGTGATGAAGAAGTCCCATAGAATTAACAGAACTATCTCTCCTTCTCCTTCTCCTTCTCCTTCTCCTTCTCCTTCTCCTTCTCCTTCTCCTTCTCC